GACTGGTCTTACTCATACAATATTTCCTACTAGAAGTTGTTGTATCTTCCTATATCAATTTCCCACTCACTAAGTCTTGCAGAGGAAGTGTTAAGTCTGGTGCTTAACAAATAGTCAGAGAGTGATTTCAGCAAAAACTCAGGTTTATTCAGCTCGATGATCACTTCTCCAACACGGTACAACATTCGATAGCCCGAACAGCTTTTCCATTGCAGCTGCTCGGTATTTAAACATTCCGGGCTAATGTAGCCACACCTCCTATACAGATATCAACCTATCAGGTTGAGCGCATAAGGTCCAATCACAAACGTTCCCACTTCCCGTTCGTTTGAATGTGATTGGTCGCCTGAGTCTTGGCGCGAATCCCTGGCCAAGACGAAGCTTAGCATAGCTTCCCTATGGGATGATTTCACGTTCATCCTAATGCATTCAGGGCAGCTTCTGAATACATTACACTCAACGACTGGCTCACAGTAGCACATAACAAAACAAAAACTTCTAGCAGATTTACATCTCACATTAAGGGTACTCAAAGCATTGCATTTGCAGGTCAATGCAAAAAAATCTAACCTAGAACCAGGGCTTTTTTTGTAGGAAAAGCCCAGTAGGAACTCATTAACATATTAGGCCACACACCCTGACAGTGCAGCTTATTAACATATTAGGCCACACCCCCATGCCTTTCCTTGGCTTGCCCAGGCAAGCGGGGAAGGCACCGATCCTTCTAGGGGGGCCCTGGCCTGCCCACCTTGGAGTCGCGGGTGTGTGTGTGTCGCTCTCCAGGCCTTCCCTCTGTAGCCACGCAGGCAGAGATTTTGGCCAGTCGGAACTCCGTTCCTGTGCGTTCCTGCCCCAAAATAGCCCTGGCTAGAACCCATGCAAAAGGGTTGTCAGCCTCCCCAAAATCTCCAGATATTTCCCACCCCAGGGTTGGCAACATTGCTCCCTTTTTAGCTAGCAATGGCACCCAGAGTATTTACCAAGATGGTAGCTATGGTAGTGGCCTACCTAAGAGGGCTAAGGTGCGACAAATATACATACCTCAACGACTGGCTCATAGTAACACATAACAAAACAAAAACTTCGAGCAGATTTACATCTCACATTAAGGGTACTCAAAGCATTGCATTTACAGGTCAGTGCAAAAAAATCTAAGTTACAACCCATGCAAAGAGTATCTTTGTGGGTGCTATATTAGATTCCACTCTAGCCAGAGCCTTCCCACTGTCAGAAAGTCCTGGCTACTGCTGCCAAAAACACCTTTCCAACCAGCTATTATCCAGGGGCTGTTAGGATTGGTGGCCTGCATTACATCGGTGGAACTCTGTGCAAGGTGTGTCCTTTATAACTATGGTTTGTCAGGAACCTCAATCCCCTCCCTCAACACGAATAAAAAAGTAGACAGGCCTAAGCAAAAGTCCAATAAGGGTTTCCAGGTATGGGTTGGAAAATATCTGGAGATTTTTGGGGGGGATCTGGGAGAGGGTGGGGTTTGGAGAGGGGCCTCAGCATGGTACAGTGCCATAGAGTCTACCATTCAAAGCAGCCATTTTCTCCAGGGGAGCTAATCTCTGTCAGCTGGAGATCAGTCCTAAAAGCAGGAGATCTCCAGGCCCCGCCTGGAGGCTGGCAAGTTGCAAACCTAAATAAAATAGGGCAAATAAAGCATGAGAAAACTGGACGACGTCAGTAAAAGCTAATGGTATGCCAATCGGATGGGGTTTTTTAGCCGTCAAGTCACAGCTGGTTCATGGCGAGCCCGTAGGGTTTTCAAGGCAAGACACGGTCAGAGCTGATTTATCATTGCCTCCCTCCGCGTCACACAACCATGGCATTTCCTGGAGATCTCTCATCCAAATATTAGCCAGGTAAAGGTTCAACCCTGCACAGCTTCCGAGATCTAACTAGGCTAAGGTGGCATTAGGGGATGCCACTGGCTACCTGCCTTGAAAGAACCCACGCCACGATCAAGATGGTTGCTGCGAGGAACCACGAGGTTCCTTCCCAAGAGCGCGAGACGCGACAAATCCGTCGCCGTTTCCTCATCTCTACGGGGCTGCGGCAGACATCCGCCACGCTCAAGATGGTAGCGTTTCCTGTGAGAAACTAGCTCTGCGAGTCTCAGTTTACGCGAGAGCTCAGGCAGGGCCGCGTCGCGATGGAGCCGGGCGGCGGCGGCGGTACGGGCTTGCTAATTGTCAACAACAAGCAACGGAGTGCGGGGCTCGGGCTGACACCACCGCCAGGAGGGAAAGGTCGGGAACTCAACCGCAACCAACGCAAGGACTCGGAGGTGAGGCCGGGTTGCGGGGTGGACGTGCTCTTGCCCGTTCCTGGAGCGAGGGAGGGTTAGGAGTGGCCTTTTCTGGGCGCCTCTTACCTCAGTTGTCAGGCCTAGCGTGATGTTAGTGGCTTAAAGACAAAAGACAGCGGAAGGTCCTCCTGCGCTCGTCGGCATCCTCCTTACCGGTTCACCTCGCTGCCCACTTCCCGAAAACGCCTGGGAGAGCTCCCATTGGCCGCCTCCACACGAGCCTTTTGTTTACCTTCTGCTCTCCTTCAGACGAGCGGCTGAAGTCACTAATGGGAACCGCTCGAGAGTGTTCTTCGTGCTCTGAGTAGCCTGCAGTCAGGGCCGGCCCCAGGTTTTTTTGCACACTAGGCGAGGCTACCTTCTGGTGTAAAACCGCCCCCGCCCCCCCACGCCCACCAGTTTTAAAACATAAATGCATTTTAGGAAGAATGAAAAACAACATTTGAAATTGCTTCTTTCTTTTTTTAACATGGACCCATGCTAAGGATGCTTCAAGGCTCAACCACCGTAATGTCAGCTCCTGCCTGGTTCTTTTTAACTGGAGATGCCAGGGATTGAATCTGGGACCTTCTGCATGCGAAGCAGAGGCTCTGCCACTGAGCCATCAGCACTTGCTGATTGATGGAATAGCTTTTACAAGGAATCTTTTTGCCATTACATTTAGATGTTATCAGTCAGATGTTATCGTGCTTTGTAACTGGCTTACTGATGGACCAAACAGCTGGAAATTCAATATAGAACCTTGTTTAAGGTTTTGAATTTACAGCCCTAGCTCCCATGGCCACTTCTGAAGTACCCCCAAAGAATCCCTAACATACTGATTAAAATGGCAATCTGTAACACATGCGATGCCTGAAGCTTTCTTTCCATTGTTTCTCATTCTCCTGATCCTGGTCCTTCCACATTGTTTGCTGGATGTCTCCTGTGTTGCTTCACACTTCCTGATCCACCTTGAGTCTCAGTGAGGAGACTGGGCTATAAGTAAAGAAAATAAATAACAGTAGACTCTGGAAATTCCTCTGGGAGGGCAGTGAAAGCACACCATTTCAGCACATGCCTCAAGCCATGGTGGGTGGGTAGCTTTCACACACAACCCACCCCATGCCCGGGTGCGCTATCTCTCCACCTTTCTCTCTCTGTGTGCTGCTCCCATCATTCACAAGCTGCAGCAGCTACAAATCTGAGTGCAAACCCCCCCTATGTTTAGTTTGCAAAACAGGAGGCTGGTATTTCCATCCTGTAAAGTTCATTATTCTGGCTGGCTTGCTATTATAGCAGTAATATATTAAAGGGAAGCCATTGCAGCTGGCTGTACCCCATACAGCATGACAGAGGAAACAACACCACTTGGAGGGTAAGAGAGGGAGGGGGGGGAGGCAGGCAGCAGCTCCAAGTCCGGCAGCAAGAGGTAGGAGGAGGAGGGGTCACCTTGGCGAGGAAGAGCCATGAAGGCGCCCGGGAGGAGGCAGCCCAAAAGAGTTCGACTGAAAAAGAGAGCGGCTGGAGTTTGCTAGCGTCAGCGCTTTGCTGGGGTTGGGCATTGCAAATAAGCATCATTAAATAAGAGAGAGAGAGACCGTGGTCCTTACTTTTGACTTCCCAGCTGGCTGCCTTGTTGCGTCTGCAAGGACAGCTCCCTTGTGCACGATTGCACTCCCTTCCACGTAAGAGGAAAGCCCAGCAAGCAGCCAGCAGGGCAGGGGAGAGGAGGAGGTGGTCACCTGCTAGCAGCAGCAGCAAAGGCGGCTGGCTTTTCTCCGGTCCCGGCTGCTCACCTCTTTTGCATGCAGGACTCACTCAGGGCTTCCCTTGTCGCTTTCTTCCTTGCAGTTGCAGAGGAGGGGGGCAAGACCAGCGCCCTCCTGTGCCCCCCCCAGTTGCCGTGGCAGAAGGAAAGATGGTGGGGGAAGGTGGGCACCCTCAAATTTTGCCCCGCCCAGGCATCCAGAGGGAGGGCTGCAGAAGGAGCGCCTTTTCTGAGGGAGCTTCTCTGCCGCCCCGCCTCCCCCCGCCAGAGGGAGAAAGAGGTGGCGGTGGCTGGGGTCAGGAAGATGCAGCAGGGCTTTTGGCGGGGTCGAGGGGGCTTTGGGTGGGGGAGCTGGGTGCAGTTCGGCGCCCTGATGATCAGCCCGCTCTAGGCGAACGTCTAGTTCGCCTAGTGAGCGGGCCAGCCCTGCCCGCAGTGAACGGCTGCTGCTATCTTGTGAGAGTGAATGGCATCAGTTCCCGCCTGAAGTACAAATGCGGGAGAGCAGTCGTGCCCCTTTGCTGTGAACCTAGTGAAATATTTGACACGGTGCTGCTGCTGAGCGATGTAGTAGAGCCGGTTTGAAAAGCAGGCAGGGAGGGACGTTGCTGCAATCAGTGACAGACTAATAGGTTACGGTGGCACTGTCCGGGGGAAGTTGAGTGCTCTTTGTAAAACTAAATGTTTCATTAAGATGTCGCCATCTTCCCAGGGCTATTCCGAGTCCCCAGACTTTGAGTTTGAATATGCAGACGCGGACAAATGGGCTGCTGAGCTATCAGGTAAAGTATGAGCTGGTTTAGTTTAACCCAACGTCGTGCTCTGTTCATAAGAAATTTTGTGTCATTGACCTTTATAATGGGATACAGTCACCTTACGTAAACCAAGTGTTTGTGGTTGTTTGACTTGCCACTGCTGTTTCTAGTTTTGTGGGTTGTTTTGGTGAATTTCAGGGGTGGGTTTTTTTTGTTTGTTTCTGTAAGGGGATGTTGCACCCTTTATAAGGAAAGCTGTGTAGGAAGGTGCTTTTCATCTATTTGTTTAGTAAATAAACAATGTGGTTCTAGGCAGCTTACTTTTTATGAGATTAAAAACTTATACTATCCTGTTAAAACCCCACTCTCTAATAAAAAGCTTGCAGCTAAAAGTTCTTATGAATAAAAAAGCCTTATAGTGCCACCTAAAAACATATAGCACTCTCCTTAGGGAGCCATTCCATAAGGTCGGAGAGGAACTGGTTGTAGCAAATGTGAGTAGGCTACCTTAAGCAGGAGTACTATTAGAAAGTGGCTACCAGAAGACCACAGTTGATTTATGGGGACGTATGGCCTTTTCCGATAATGTGAGTCTTAGACTGTGAAAGGCTTTAAAGGTTATAAGAAGCACACTGACCAGAGCTCAGAAACAAACTGGCAGCTAATACAGCTGTTTTAAAATAGGGGAGATGTGTTCCCATTGGCTAGCCCCTGACAGAAATTGGGCTGCTTTGCATGAATCAGTTGTTGCTTCTGGGTTGTCTCCAAGGGCAGCCCAGTGTAGAGCATGTTACAGTAGTCCAACTACAGAGTTATATGGATTAATTTCTCCAGGTCACCAACAGTTGTCAAACCAAGCACAGCTGATGGAAAACAATGTACTTTACAAAGCATTCCTGCTTTTGATATGTTGATTTTTTTTTCCAAGAGAGGTGATACATATTGCCCCTGTGCAGTCATACAGCTGGATACCAAATCATGGTTAAGAGTTGGGCATATGTCAAGATATGAAAGCAGGGTGTGAACAAAGTAGACTTGTAAACCATTATTTGTGTTTAGCTATGGTTAAATGGTGCATCAACATGCACGGCTGTTCACCGAACTTTCAGGAGTTGGGTGGTTAAGTGCCAGAGAAAGTGTTTTTTCCTGTAGTGGAACACAAGCTATGAAATACCCTACCCTTCATCATTAAGTAACCTAGTAAAGGCAATGTTTCTTGTAATCATTTTGTTAAGCTGTCTTGAAGATTTCTTTTGATAGGTGGGGTACAAGTGGTTTAAAAAGTTACCTCTCAGATTGCAAGATGATAAGCGGGTCTCACTGGTATCATATAGATATAGATCCATCCATCTTCTGGTGGCAGGGCTTTATTTGTCAAAATAATTATCTTAATGTGGGATCTTAACCAGGGTTAAAGCAGCAAACCATCTGTTATTTCTGTGCTTGGTTATTATCCTCTTATAATAAGGATAACTGGGTGGATACACAGAATATAATAAAACCATTTAGCTCATTGGTGTCAAACATGCAGCCTGGGGGCCAGAGGGCTTCTATCAGGCCCACACTGGAACTGGCTGTCTTCTGCTGCTTCTTCCAGTTCTGCTACTGCTGCATCCTCGTAGGTTTGCAGCTTACAGATACACACCTGAACAGCATACTCAAGATTGCAACAGCACAGACATTTTGATGCAATAATTCAGAGCAAGAGGTGTCAGTTATCAGACACTGTTAAATAAAATATTGCAAGAATGCTAATGTTTTAAGCATGTTTTTATTTTAAGTTAAAAAAACCCTTTGTGTTTGTGTCCTTTGTAAAGTTTATATCTCCGCTACCTGGCATTACATTTTATGATACACATGGCCCAGCCCAACAAGGTCTCACTTATGTCAGATCTGGCCCTCATAACAAATGAATTTGACACCCCTGATCTACCTATTAAATAGATACGACTACCTAAATATTTGTTATCTTCCAAGTGCTTGGTATCATCTCAGTATTCATTAGAATGGCCCTGTCAGGTAGTCCAGCATTATTATCCTATGTCACAGAAGTAGTACTTAGTTTGAGAGAACTGAGGCTTTCCTGAGTCAGTGGCTAAGATTTGAGCTGGAGACTTCCTTTTCAGTTTGCATTCTTAGTTGGTATACGTCATCAGAAAACAGTATTTGTTCCATAGAATTTTCAGTGAAGGCCCGATCTTATTAATATCCTAGTTTTTTCACTCACTTCTCTGACTGATATCCTAGTATGGATTTATTTTTGGAAGTGAGCTTAAGCATGTACATACCATATATATTTAAGAAGATATGCTGTTAGAAAAACCTATGACAGCAATTTTCAGAAGATATTGCCTGCTCTAGACCCAACATTATTAAGCTAGGGTGGTGTAATGGCTAAAGTGTCAGACTAGCATCTGGAAAATCCAGCTTCAAAACCTATCTCTGCCATGGAAGCTCCCTGGATGACCTTGGGCCAGTCATACACTCTCAGCCTAAACCTGCCTCACAGGGTTGTTGTGAGGATAAAATGGAGGTGAGGAGAATGATGTAAGCCAATTTGGGTCCCCACTGAGGAAAAAGATGGGCTATAAATGAAATAAGTAATGTTAATCCTAGCAAATAATGACATGTAGATATGTTGCACAGGTTTAGATCCACACATATATTCTTCAAACCATCCTTCGGTCTGTTTTAAAATGGGACCCACTAACCATTTTTGTATGAATATTATCTCTTGATAGAACTGTATAGCTACACCGAAGGCCCTGAATTCCAACTCAACAGAAAATGCTTTGAAGAGGATTTTAGGGTCCATGGTAAGAGTATTGTCTTTTTCTTTTATGAAAATTTGACTTTTGTTCACTTGTGGGCTTTCCAACGTCAAGCGTGTCTTCTAGAAGCGTTAAAATCCCAAATAGAAAAAAAAATGCATTTAAACTAGAGGATTGTTTTAATCTATCTCAGTGGGACTTCAGCTTCGCTTGGAATCTTATAAGGATAGTTTGTGTTTTAGATCAGTCATTACTTTCTGTGGTCTTTTGGGGGCAGATGAATTGTAAATAAGAGTTAAATAAAATAACTTTTTAGTGTGTTCACCAAGTTGAAGGGAGTCAAACCTTTGAAGCTGGCAGTTCAGACCATATTTTAAGAGCTGTAGAGGTTGCTGTCCTTGAAGTGTTTGTAGGGTGGTCTTTGTTGCTGGTTTATTTACATTTTGGTTGTGATTAGATGTAGTAGGTAGTGATGAATTTGGTCCTCAGTCTGCAGATCCTTCAGAGTGTAATGTGCAGTGTATAAACAGAAGCACAAGCAGGAGCACTACATATCCCACAATACCTGTCAATCCCTTTCCTCAAGTAATTACTTGCACAATGTCTTGATTAAACAGATTGCAAACTGGGACGAACCTAGCACAAGCTGCAAGCATGATCTTTTTCATATGTTTGTGTTTGGACAAGGGCTCTATCATGTGTAGAAATCTTCTGCTTTAATCCAGCCCAATAACTTTGCATCACTGCTGATCTGCATTTACTTTGTTAGGTCAAGGCTGGCCAATTTTACAATGAAGAAGTTTTGGACGGTTCACTCTGTGCAACCCCAATTAGTCTATGTATAGGTCCTGTCCAGAATTATAGATAAGTGCACTCAGCTAATATCCTGACACCAGGCTATTTTCCCATACTATAAAGAAATTTTGAATCCCACCATTATTCAGAGACTTTTCTGCCAGTGAGTACAGTGCAATTTCCAGCATTTTGATACTTTTGAATAAATTTATGCTGAAAGGGCAGACTGGTATGGGCTGCTAGTGTACAATGTACAGACACTTCAGAAAGCAGTATCATATCATATTTCTTGGCTTTACAGTGCAGGATACGAAATGGACAGAACTGGACATCAATCAGCATCGTACCCATGCCATGAGGCTTCTTGATGGCCTTGAGGTCACTGCTCGGGAGAAGAGGCTCAGGGTGGCTCGAGCCATCCTCTATGTTGCACAAGGTACACCTTTATTGTCAGAGGAACAGTTTATTTCAATTGCTGAGTAATGGCTTGATGAACTATTTTTTAATTGAGCAATTTGGTTAAACTACCTTTCCCTGTGACATAAAGCTGCTATTAGCAGAGCAAAAGCTAATTTGTTGGTTTCTACCTTCTTACATTTATGTTCATTATAAGCATGATTAACCTGAGTCAGTTTCATCTTAGGCTGTGTTTTTGTTTTATGGTGAGTTTGTAGAAGTGTGCCAAGTGGGATAACCATGTTAGTGAGCTATAAGAAGTTATATTCTGTCTCTGCTCAGAAAGTCCTTAAACCAAGAACTGGCATGGGCATTTCACAGCACAATAATTTGATGGGACATCTGGGTTCTCAATATGAGACACAAGTTATGCTGGGCTAGCTTTTTATCTGCAAACTGGGGCTTAAATACATAGGGTCATTGTAGAATTTGATCTTGTAAGGGATGCCTTTGCTCAAAGAAAATGCCTTTGTGGTTGCAGGCACGTTTGACGAATGCAGCTCTGAAGCTGAAGTTCAGTCCTGGATGCGATACAACATTTTCCTTCTACTGGAAGTTGGCACTTTCAATGCTTTGGTAGAACTTTTGAACATGGAAATTGAGTGAGTTCCATGTTGTTGCAAAGTAGGGCCTCTGAAAAGAATGCAGGCTGTTTAGATAGCCTGTTTATGATCTGCCCCACCAGCAGATATATATTTTTACAGCTTGTGAAAGATGATCAGATACTAGACTTATTCTGGTATCCATCCAATTTTATCTGATTCCATGAAAAGTTTCCTGTTGAGTTCAGAGGGAATTGCATCAGGCCCTGGAGTTCAGGACTCAAGTGCATCTTGGGTATAGCTGATAGTGCAGATGCCTTTCATCTGCCTTTCCAGTGCCTGATGCAGAATTACTACCTTTCTGAGAAGGGAGAAAATGTACATTGCCTGGAATCGCGAACTGATCACTTTTGTGGATAGTTTTAGTGAGCGTGCCAGTTAGGAATTAGGCACATACTAATCAAAATTAATCCATGACCTAGGTCCAAATAGTCCACTTACATAAATAGCTCTCTACTCCCTTACTTGGAGCTATGCTTTTTCCTTTGTTCTAGTGCTTCTCTTTTATACTGCACAAGCCCTTTCCCAGTGGTGGCTTGCCCCTGAGTCTTGCCTGCACTTGCATAGTGTAGGTGAGGGATTCATTTCACACAAAGCATATAAAAAGATTCTGCCGAAGCTTTTCATTCAATTGTGTTTGAAATTTTCTCCATGCTTTGCTTGACATTCTTGACAATTTCACAGGATCCAACTCCCCCCCCCCCCCCAATCTTCCTGTGCCTGGATCCACTGTTTATTACATCAAAAATGTCAGACTCTGGACCCAGAGAAATTGAAGGTCACAGAGACAAATTATGCAGTCAGTACTCTAATTATATTGCAACAATATCAGTATCCCAATATTTTTATTTGTAATTGCAACAGGAGAGGGCAGTAAAGGGTGACTGTTAGCACTAATGGTGGAATCTGGTTGGGAGTCTGCTGTTTTCACCACAGGTATAGCTGGAACTGAGACAACAGTGGAGGTTTCTCTAGGGTTTCATAGCCCAATATATCAGTAATTGATTAGGGTTCTTCTTTGCTTCTGTCGGGTCAAATGCTTTCATACGTGACAAATAGTGCACTTTCAGTCCACTCTCTTTAATGATCATTTGCAAGTGGATTTTGCCATTTCACACAGTGAAATTCAGTTGCAAAGTGCTTTGAAAGTGTGTTATTCAGCATTTGTAGAAGCACCCAGTTGTCTAAGTAACTGGCGATATTGCTAGGGCTTGTAGTGATTAGTACACTGGAGCAGAAGGCAGTGAGCTAGATTAGCGAGACCCCATAGCAATTATTCTCAGTTCCAGATGAATATGACAGGGACCTGTACTGGAGCAGAAGGCAGTGGACTAGATTAGTAAGACCCCATAGCAATTATTATCAGTTCCAGATGAATATGACAGGGACCTGGAGAAAGCTGAGGTCATGTAGGTGTATCTTTCCAGTGAAGGAGTACAAAATATGTTAATTTGTTCCCATAGTGCCTTAATCTCAAACCATGGTCTTTGGTCCCATATTATGGGCAATTGTGGGCAAACTACATGCTTTATTTTCCAGCAACAGTGCAGCCTGCAGCAGTGCTGTGAGGAAGCCAGCCATCTCCCTGGCTGATAGCACAGATCTAAGGTAAGGAATGTTGGGACAGAAAGTAATAATGGGATCATACGTCTCTATGATGGGCTTCAAGTTAGCAAGGATGCTTTTCCCTGTTTTCCCCCAAGTGTCCTCTGCACAAATTGTGTAGCCTCCTACAAGTGCTAGTAATGATTACTCGATGGACTAGCATGAGTATATGCAACTTTTATCTTATAACCAACCCACTCACCCCCATTTGTGCAACACTCACAACTTTAGATTTGGTATAGCATGTTGTATTTAAAGTGCCAAGACTGGGGCAGTGAGAGAAAACAGGAAGAAGAAGAAAAGACAGGCACCCCAACCAAAAGCTTGTATGAATAGTACATTATAGAATGAACTCTGTTCTAGGTGATACTGTTTCTGAACAATCAGTGCACAATGTTGTCCCTTCACAGAGAGGGTAAATTCTGTTGCTTGGAAATGGCCAGTTCCACAAGGAGATGATTGTGGAAAAACTTTAAGATACAATATCCTGAAGCATAAATTTGGTTTTTTCTCTCTCATCCCCCATTCCCCCTCCCTATGGATGATATGGTGGCTGCCATCTTCATAGAAGACTAATTGGAACATCTGGAGCACTTTATAATTGTAATTTTGTAATGTTGTATAATGTTTTAAATGGTTTTAAAAATGTTTTTATGTATTGGCTTATGCCCGACTGTGAGCCGCCCTGAGCCCGCTGCGGGGAGGGCGGAATAAAATGTTAGTAGGCCAGGAACTTGGAATTAGTTTGTGATTTAGCCTTTCCTTACATATGGAAGAAAGCTTGTTTCTTTGAACTGAATGAACAGGATCACATTTGTGAATGTGAGTTGAATACTACTAAGCTTGTATGTTGTAAACAGTAATTTCAGGAGCAGGAAGTTATGAAAAATGTACTGGAAGGTAATAGGATTCACTAGAAGAGATTGCAGAGGATGGAACTGGAATCCATTAAACAAGAACTGAGGAATCCTTATGTAAAATGGGTGACACCATTATGTTTGTTACCTTTTAGGGGCACCACTTTATAACAATGAGCCATTTTCTGTTATGCTGTTTGGAATGGTGACCAAATTCTGCAGTGGCCATGCCCCACACTTCCCTATGAAGAAGGTCTTGCTGCTGCTCTGGAAGACTGTCTTGGTAAGATGCTGTTTGTTGTGAATAAGGGCACTTCAAACATGATACGCCTAATGTTATAATTGATGTTGTTAGATCAAACAAAATTATGTGGGTCTGTTTTAATTCCTGGGCTCATCACTGTACAGAGATATGTGTAGAATATGCCTAAATAGCTTCTATTTACTCATTTGTTCTGGCATCAGTGCCACTGTGGGATTGTCTGCATGTTCCATCTGTAGGATTTACATTCTGCAATAAAACAGTTCTGCCAGTGGACGGTTTTGTGGGAAAGTCCTACAGTTCTCACCATTTGGGAAAGCAGTTTATTCTATCTCTGCAACAGGCACAGGAGCCACCTTTCTTTGTACATTGCATAATGCTTCCAAGGGCTACAAACACTGCTGAGTTGGAGCAGGAAATTGAGAAGTAGGTGGAGAAGTAGGTACTACTGCTCACCATTCTGGAAAAGGAAGAAACAAATATATAAGAATACTGTTTTATAGCTACAGCTTGATATTGAGGTTTTATTGTGTTTTTTGTAGTATTTTCACATATATTGTGTGTTAATATTTGCAACCTTTTACTGCTGTTGCTGTTTGGCACATTTTATTATAATGTCATTGTGTTCTGCATCTGGCAGCTATCTGAGAGTTTAGGCATCTAGATCTCTCTGGGTTAGTGGTACTATAAAGTCAAATCCAAGAAAATTACATTTTATTTATTACAGCAATTATACCCCAATCCCACCTTTCTTTGAATACTCAAGGCAGCTAACAAAGACAAAATTTGTGATAGAACAATACAATATCAGCAAATACATGTACATAAAAAACAACCAAAAATACATAATACCTCTTGACCAAATTTCCAACAAGCTCATCAGCCTCCTAATAAAGCTAACAGAAACAAGAAGAGTAGGTGTTTATATCCTGCATTTCTTTACCTTAAGGAGTCTCAAAGTGGCTTACAATCGCCTTTCCCTTCCTTTCCCCACAGCAGGCACCTTGTAAGGTAGGTAGGGCAGAGAGGATTCTGAGAACTGTGACTGGCCCAAGGTCACCCAGCAGGCTTCATATAGAGGAGTGGGGAATCAGACCTGGTTCTCCAGATCAGAGTCTGCTGCTCTTAGCCATTAAACCACGGTGGCTCTCAGACACCTAAACAAGACACCTCTGTTTGGAAAACGGAGAGTGACAGTGCACATCTTCAAGGATACTATTTCACATTGTGAGTCCAGCAACACAAAATATCCTTATTCAGGCTGAGGAGAAGCAGATTAATCTGTGAGCTGGTTTAGAAAGAAGGAGGAAATCAGGGGGACATCACTGGCATAATTAAATTTTAATGTATCCTGTGGAGGTAAAAATCACAATGTAAAAGAATATTAGATTATTTTATTAAGAAGAAGAAGATTGGATTTATACCCCCACCCTTCACTACCTGAAGGAGTCTCAGAGGGGCTTACAATCCCTTTCCCTCCCCACAACAGACACCCTGTGAGGTAGGTGGGGTTAAGAGAGCTCTCTCAAGAACTGTCCTTGAGAGAACAGCTCTGAAAGAATTTATGACTGATCCAAAGTCACACCAGCAGCTGCATGTGGAGGAATGGGGAATCAAACCCAGTTCTCCCAGATTAGAATCTGCGCTGTTAACCACTATACTAAACAAATGTACAATTTTTGTAACTAAAAAATAAGATGATGGTCACTAAGAACCATTATGAAGAATTTCAGTTTAGCTGAAAATTCCAGTAGCATTAAGCTAACAAAAATTAACTTACTGGTTTGAATTTGAAAAGTAGTCTACCCAAGGTAATCATCTTTACTCAACCAAATCCATAATTTCAAAAAAATAATTTTTCACCTTTAAAATAAATACTGCTATTTCTGGCCATTCGTGAGAGAAGTGGGTACATTAGAGATAATAAATCAACTTGCAATGAACAACTGCATAGTTTTAAAGCATGAGAGCAGAAATTGCAGAAGTATTTTATATACTGACAGAGAAACATATGCTGCATAATTTTTATAGCTTTCAGCATGATAAAGCTGCGGAAACATATGCTGCATAATTGCAGCTTTTTATAGCTTTCAGCATGATAAAGCTGCAATGCTATGAGGTCACTAGCTGCCCTATTTCTGATGATAACTGTCCTTGCAACTGTTGAAGACTGGTCATGAAATCAGTAGACTGCAATATTATGACTGAATTTCAAAGGAACTGCTTCAGCGCTCATCAGGACTATGTAGTCTTGCTGCTTCAGTGCCAAAATAATGAACTCCCAAATATACCTTCCTACCTGCCATCTGTTGCTTTTTCAGAGACTATTTTATTTCTCTTGCCATTTGGCAACTAAGGAACAAAGAACATAGCACCATAGAATGGCTTTGTGAATTGTCTAAGGATGCTTGGTGCATCTGTATTGTTAAAAGTTCAGTGGATCTATGCCAGATCAGTGCCTGGACAGGAAACTGCTTGGGATTCCCATGTAAGCCCCTCTGAGCTTTTTGAAGGAAGAAATACATATTTCCTAAGTAAGTGTGATAGCTAGGAATGTGAAATTCTAATTTTAAAATTTAATGAGTATCACTTCATTCTTTAGAAAATTATTTGTGAAAATGGGACTATAACATGAGCAGACAGCCAAGTTTAAAATGCTAAAGTGCTTATGTATCTGATGTTCACAAATGGTTCTTTGAAAAATCATTGGCAAATAACTTAACTACAGCAAATCCTTCATTCATCAGTCCCTTGACTCACTGATAGCAAGCCAGTTTTTGAACTGTTTATAAATAACCAAAAAGATAAAGTGACAAAATTGCATTGACCTTCTATGTAGTGTACCCTTGGAGGATTTGAGGAACTTCAGGATATGAAAGGAGAGAAACGGGAGATGCTGGGACTCCCCCCACTTCCTGAGGACAGTATCAAAGTAATCCGTAACATGAGGGCTGCTTCTCCTCCAGCATCTGCTTCTGATTTGATTGAGCAGCAGCAGAAACGGGGCCGGCGGGAACATAAGGTGAGCTGAGGAACAGATAAGACTAACAGAAGATAACCTTGCCATCTTTGGGAAAAACAATATTCACAAGATCAGATGGGTTAACTTGCTGTTTGATCGATATGTTGAATCTTGCAGGCTCTTATTAAACAGGATAATCTAGATGCTTTCAATGAGCGGGATCCCTACAAAACTGATGATTCCCGTGAAGATGAGGAGGAGAATGATGACGATAATAGTCTTGAGGGAGAGACATTCCCTCTTGAAAGAGATGAGGTGATGCCTCCTCCTGTCCAGCATCCTTCAGCTGACCGACTAACTTGCCCAAAAGGTTTACCTTGGGCACCCAAGGTCAGGTGAGTAGTGCCAGGATTGCTGCATTTAATCCTGAGAGCCAGTTTGGTGTAGTGGTTAAGTGTGCGGACTCTAATCTGGGAGAACCGGGTTTGATTCCCCACTCCTCCACTTGCACCTGCTCATGTGACCTTGGGTCAGTCACAAGCTCTGGCACAGCTGTTCCTGAAAGAGCAGTTTGTGTCAGAGTTCTCTCAGACCCACCCACCTCACAGGGTGTCTGTTGTGGGGAGGGGAAGGGAAAGGAGTTTGTAAGCCGCTCTGAGACACCTTTGGGTAGTGAAGGGCGGGATATAAATCCAATCGCCTCTTCTTCTTCTATTTAAGCTGGAAGGCCCTTTTCTTTGACATATGAGTGTGCTTAGAGTGTGTGAGTGTGTGTATGTGTATGAATCATTAGCTGCAGTGAAAGACATACTCGCCTTGGGTTGATGCAGTCATGCTAATTATATGGAAGCTTTTATGTAAGGAGGCTAAGGGACATCTCTCTTACTTAGTGCTAACCTAAGTAGTGTGAGATTTTGGAATGCCTTACATCTTTTCCCATTTGCAGTATTAAATTGTCATCTTTCTGGAACGATGTAAAGACTGTAATATGGTGAGAAGCTTTGAAAGTCTGACTCTGTGCCATTGTTGCTTTTTTCCAACAGAGAAAAAGATATTGAGATGTTTTTAGAATCCAGTCGGAGTAAATTCATTGGCTACACCTTGGGGAGGTGAGTTAAAGCAGCACAGGTCTTGTTGAATTTTGGGCTCACCATGCTTTTTACATGTTTAGGTCACTGTTGGTGTAAAAGAAAAGGCTATAATTGTAGAATTATAATCACACTAGAAATAAGGCCCGTTGTGGAAATAAATACAACGGGATCTAGAAAGAGGCTCTGGGAGAGTGCTCTGGCTTTGGGCAAACAGTGTCAGTCTGCTTTTAAAACATGAACTTGGGACCTGCACACCACCAGAATACAGCAGATTCCATATGCAACTGACATTCCAACTGCCTTGCGGGGGGGGGGAGTTTGAGGTGTGGAATGGAGTGAAGTCCAATCAGCTTCCATATGCAAAAGACCAGGTTGTCGCAGCAGTTGTGGTGTGGGCGGGACCCGGGCTTTGCCTTCTGATTGGTGGCGATATATGCTGAGGAGCAGTGCCATCAGCCATACACTAAGGGAGTGCATTTTAGAATTAGAACCTTGGCACCCACTATTCAATTATATATAAGGACAGATTCTCACCAGCTCCAGCTCCCTAATTTTTATTTCAAGGTCTATACCCAGTGTATACCTAAATGGATTAAAATATAATGTCTTTACAGTTTGAAGCTTGGGGTATGTTTAATTTGCAAACACTTCTGTTTTTTAAGTTGGTAGACAGTATAAACTATTACTACTAAGCTGCAGGAAACCTTATAGAGATCTGTTTTATCTGATTTTTTGTAAAAGAAAAGGTTAAGAAAAAAATCCCAAGAATGTAGGTTCTTATGAAAATAGATATTTGGGCTTAACTTGGAGAAAATGTACTGTTCTGTATTGTTACGTGTTACATTTTGATATTTGCTCCTGACACATTTTACTTTGTTCTTTCTAGTGATACCAACACTGTGGTGGGACTTCCCAGACCCATTCATGAGAGTATCAAAACTCTGAAACTGGTGGGTACCCACATTGTGTACCCCTTAATCTGAAGGAAGTGTGCTTGCACATGAAAGTTTATACCTTGAAATAAACTTTGTTGGTCTTAAAGGTGCCTGTGGAGTCAAACTTTGTTCTGCTGCTTTAGACCAACACAGCTACCCACCTGACTCTATCCTTAATTCATGTGTACCTCTGTAGAAGAAGTCTCACATGAGCTGGTTTAAAACCCTATCCAGTCCATTGTTTCCTTTGTGCTAAGAATCCCAGCTGGGGAACTGTTTAAATTTACTGTGCTGCCTATATAGTGAGGTTACTGTCCTTTGCTTTGTCACCTTACAGCACAAGTATACATCTATTGCAGAAATTCAAGTACAAATGGAAGAGGAGTACTTGCGTTCCCCCTTGTCAGGGGTAAGTGATGTTGGAAGACTTTCACCATTAGATTCTGCTGAAGAAGTGGAGGGAAGGGAGATTAAATCTTCTATCTGGAATTAGATATTAGCTAGCTCTACCCTCTATTGGGTTCCCAGTATGGAGAATGTACACGGGTCACTTTCAGTGTTGCGAACCTGCTGGTCATAGCACTGTCTCCATCTATGGAAACTATGCAGGTTGATTTTGTAAGGCTTATGTGATGAAAAGCAGTTTTTGTCTGGGTTCAGGAAATTAATTACACTCAGAAAATGCTTGGTATGAACTCAGTATTAGAATTAATATTTTAATAATTTCCTTATGCTTACAGGGGGAAGAGGAGGTTGAGCAAGTTCCTGCAGAAATCTTGTACCAGGGTCTACTTCCTAGCTTGCCTCAGTATATGGTGAGCCTCATTCTAATCCAATGTGTGTGTTTCCATTCACCCCCTTTCACTTCCTTTTCCTTCCTTTTATGTTTGTGCTCTATTCTTACCACCTTTATGATCGGAGAAATATCTGGTCTCCATCTATATTTCATTGATGGGTTGTGCAACAAGCTTATTTAGATGTGTCGTCTGTTTGTTGGTACATGACAAATTGCATCCTGTTCATCTGCCACTATCTTGAGTGCCTCTTTTTCTTTCCTACACTTGTCTACTTTAGAATGTCTTCTGTATCTCACTTAGCTCTTCATCCACAGATTGCCTTGCTGAAAATCCTACTGGCTGCAGCACCCACCTCCAAAGCCAAGACTGACTCCATTAACATCCTGGCAGATGTTTTACCAGAGGAGATGCCGTGAGTGCCATTAATAGGACAGAAGCAAGTAGTTGCATGTAATGAATTAAGGGGGAAGACAATGGATTGACATTTAGTTGCCTTTCTCTGATGGGGTGATGGACTGGCACACTGATGATAGAAACTGGTAAATATATGCAGGCTATAATTAGGAAACTGGACAATGGTAAATAGAAGAATAGCCATGTAGATCCTTCATATTGCCTGTGGAAAGCCATTTGAAACTAGCCTGCCTTTGAATTGGCAGACCTTTCAAACTAGTAGTATGGAATTAGGCCATTACTTGACAGTGTCTGAAGAAAACTCCAGGAGAGTCATGATGTGTGTGGAAAGAGTTGTCAAGTGGCAGCCTACTCATGGCGACCCCAGCAAGGGGCTTTCAAGGCAAGTGAGAGGCAGAGGTGGTTTGCTATTGCCTTGCTCTGTGGAGCCTTCCTTGGTGGTCTGCCTTCCAAGTACTGGCAGTGTGTAGTGGTTAAGAGTGGCGGAGTCTAATCTGGAGAACTGGATTTGATTCCCCTCTCCTCCACGTGAAGATTGCTGGGTGACCTTGGGCCAGTCACAGTTCTCTCAGCATTCTCTCAGCCCCACCTACCTCACAAGGCGCCTGCTGTGGAGAGAGGAAGGGGACTGTAAGCCACTTTGAGACTCCTCAGGGTAGGGAGAAGTGGGGTACAAAAACCAACTCATCATTGTCTTCTACTGACTCAGCTTAGTTCCCAAGAGCTGGCAAGATTGGGCTATACCATGCCACCTTCCCTCCCTGTGCTAAATTTGGGTGTATTAATAATATACTGTTCTTCTAGCGAGACCAAAAGCTGCCTGAAGCTATTAGCATTTCACAAGATTGGCTAGACTAGGCTACATTGTACCCTATGAGTCTTGGGTGGTGGTACTTACTTCAGTATCTTCCTACCCAGCCCACCCAGGTAGCTTTTGTTTGCATGTGAAGCCAAGTATGGTTTCTTATGTTCTTCATTATATTGACTTTTTAATCAAAATTGAAAAGGGTTTAGAGAATGCTATGGAGCAAACTCAATCATCTCTGATTATTATCATTATGTCTTCAGATTGAGTACTGAATCAGGTTCAAGGTTCTGGTACTTAATACCTTAAAGCCCTAAATGGTCTGGGACCATTGTCTCTACAGGACTGCCTTTCCCTATATACATGCTCATCTGGTAACAACCTACTGGCAATCTCTGGTCCCAAAACTGTCCTCGACCAGGGCCTTTTCAGCTCTGGCCCCAAGGTGGAACTCGGGCCCTGTGAGACTTGGTTCAGTTCTGCAGGGCCTGTAAGACTGAGTTGTTCTAATGGGCGTATGACTGAGGACAGTGACAGGGAGATCAGCTGTCCTCCCTCCTTCTCCCCCTTCCTTATTCTTTATTTCCCCACCTTCCACCTGTTTATTTCTCTTTATCCTGTTCCTTCTTTTCCTGATCCTACCCTCCTTCTCCCTTCCTTCCTTCCCCTCCTCCTTTGCCCTTTTTTCTGTAGGGCTTGTTTTTTCCATTTATTGTTGGACCCTGAATTTCTCTGTGCTGGCTGCCTCCCCAGTTGCCCACCTATGATGGATTTTTGGGGCGCCATCTGATATAGTAGACTGACTGTTAGGTTTTTAACTTGTAATATGTGGATCTTAAAATTGTAATATGCAGATCTGATTGTACATTTAATTGTTGGAAGCCACCTTGAGCCCTGCTTGGCGGGGAAAGGAGTGGGCTATAATACGAATAAATAAATTATTGCCAGTTTATTTAAATATAAATGATAGTGACTCCTCACGGGGGTTCTTTAAGATGAGAAGGGCAGAGAAGATAAAAGTTTCTTAAATGAAAAATGCTCCAGGACAGAGAAGATAAAAGTTACTTAAATAAAAAATGCTCCAGAGCACTAGGTAATAGTGCCAGAGCAAGAAGGTTAGCCCCATCACGGTCACTAATACTTTTGCTTTTGCTTCCAGAACAACAGTGTTGCAGAGCATGAAACTGGGAGTTGATGTGAATAGGCATAAAGAGATAATTGTAAAAGCAATTTCTGCTGTGCTGCTGCTGCTGCTGAAGCACTTCAAGCTAAATCATGTGTATCAGGTAAGCATGGTAAGGTGTAACATTTGAAGCAGGGTAATGAAGTGAATCCGGGATGTGCTTGCTTAATATGCTTTACTGTGTTCGTTCCCTAAACCAGTTTGAATACATGGCGCAACACCTGGTGTTTGCCAACTGTATCCCACTTATATTGAAATTCTTCAATCAGAACATCATGTCATACATCACTGCTAAGAACAGGTAAGTGGAAGGTGAGAATATCACTAGCGTACCTGTATCCTAGAATGCTATGATGGCAAATGTGACTCTTTTCAGCAAGACGTCTGGATGCTACCTTAGGTTGAAGGTTTTAGGGCACCCAGTCCTCTTCCAGAATTTAGTTAGCAAAGATGGAAGTTAATAGCCACTGATAAAAACCTGCTGGAGGAAATTTTCACCTCATTAATGCCCCTTCTTGGCAGTTACTCATAGGTGGAAAGCCCAAAAATATGTTTGAACATCTTGGCTTACCTTCCACAGAAAGATTCCAAGGCCATGGTGTAGTGCTTGTCTCTTAGATACTGTCATGCTGGTGCGTGTGTATGTAAAATGTCTGAGTGTGATTTAGTTCGTCGTCATCATATTCACATTGGCTTTAGTTCAGAATGGACAGGGAGGCATTTAAAGATAAGTGCATTCTATCTTTCTGAATTTGGAGACGAACAAGCAGGGCTTGGAGGACTTGTCATATCATCGTGTTTCTCATATGTTTGAACCAGGCTGTTTCAAATAGTGTCGGAGGTAGTATACTATGCTGGTTATCATTCTGATCTATTTGTGTTCTTCTGTTTTAGCATCTCTGTTTTAGATTATCCCTACTGTGTGGTACATGAATTACCTGAGCTGACAGCAGAGAGCCTGGTGAGCAAAGCTGCCTGTAACTTTTACCTTGACAAGGAATATGTAGAGGTGGTGGAGACAGCATTAAATTTAGCATTATCAACAAGGGGCGCTTCCTAATTCTGGCTTTTCTTCTCAGTCGCATTTGTTCACTTGTACTCAGTGCTGCTTTTTCTTATAGGAAGCTGGGGACAACAATCAGTTTTGCTGGCGCAATCTGTTTTCCTGCATCAATCTTCTTAGGATACTAAATAAGTTAACCAAGTGGAAACACTCTAGGACAATGGTGAGTAGAAGCTCTTCTATAGAACCTCATCTGTCTGTGTACCTGCTGTGTATGTTGTTCCTAGCTCCATTAAGGCTTTATAGAAATTTTACCAAAGCCTTGGTCATGGGCAAGAAGTACAGCTTTAGAGAATTGACCCTGTGTTACCTTAATTCCCCAGATGTTGGTGGTATTCAAGTCTGCTCCCATTTTGAAACGAGCTCTCAAAGTTAAGCAAGCCATGATGCAGCTCTATGTTCTGAAGCTTCTCAAGGTGCAGACAAAGTATTTGGGGCGACAGTGGAGGAAGAGCAACATGAAGACCATGTCAGCAATATACCAGAAAGTGCGGCATCGCCTCAACGATGACTGGGCTTAGGGCAATGGTATGTCTTGGGTCTCGCCTTTACGGTTTTCTCCAGACTTTTCATGAACCTGCTTCACCTGTGTCAAGTCAATATCCCATGAAGTATTTGTCTTTATTGAAAGCTCACAAAAGTAATGTTTAGGATTCCAT